ACATATCCGCGAGGACACACTGCCCAACATCAGTGCATCTGGCTTGAGAGCAAGGTTTAAGATGTGAAAACCAGTTGTCGACGATTACAAATCAAGGATGAAAGCGAAAAAGAAGATTTTTGTTGAGGGTCATCGGGTGGAGTCTTCAGATTTCTTCACAATCATCATTTTTGTTTTTTTTATCTCTCTCGCTCCTTATTTTTCGACCGTTAAAGGTACATGACTTGTTCAGAAGGAAATTTCGCAAACGAATTGGCCTGGAGAATCATCTTATTGAGAACAACAGTCTGCATAAAAACAATATATGTTTTCTTTACTGTGAAGAAAAATACACTTTTGAATAAATATTTCATAAATAAAAAATAAGTAGTCGTAAATGACAAATATTAATTGATATTTATGAGTAATAAATAAAATTATAAAAATAAATATTTTAGTATTTTCTTTAATTATTCATTAACTTATATTTAAATGATTGAAAAATTAGAAAATAATCATAGAAAACAAATAATCATCTAATTTGATTTTTTTTTTATTAATCTTTTGATTGATAGATTAACAAACTTGATGACTCATTGACTTTTCCATTCCGATAAAATTAATTAAAACCTCCTTTTAACATTTATCCTGATTTATTTATGAGTGCAATTGAAAAATCGTTAGTATTATGTTAACACTTATTTTTATTCTCATCCAGAAGTGAACAAAAATTCATGATGTCTGCAAGCTAAAAAAAAGTCTGCATTTGGACATACGTGAATGGACTACACAATAAAATAATAAACTGCAGTTGATGCAAAGGGTATAATAAAGTATTCGAGATCACGAGGAAAAGGATAAAAATATGGGAGATGCATATAAGGTTGAAATGCAGTCGGCTGATGTAAACACAAAAATTTATTTATATAAGAGAGATGTGTAAAAAAATAAATAACAAGAAGAGGAAGGTTCTGAGACAGTCGATTTTACAATTACCGAATCCCATATAAGCCTAAGAAACGGGCGTCGGCTTCGAAGGAGATCAAGTATTCCTCTCACTCTTTTTTTTTTACAGTTTTTCTCCACTTTTTCTTCGGCGGATTAAGAGCAACTCGTTAACACGATTGTTATAGAGTAAAGAAAAAATTCTATGGATCTTTTCCAATGTTACGACACCCAAGTTACAATTTCATAGAAAGCTATATTGTAACTTCCAAGATCTCCTGCGAAATCGTCGATCATTTAAAGTCTTTTTGATCTAGATATTTTTCAAACGTTTACTGTTGCTCGTAAAAGCCTTTCGCACTACTAGAGTTTAGTCAGAGATTCTTTCTTAAATGACGAAAATAAAAATGATTGCTGCTGAGAAATAGATTCTTATTACAACGTAAAACCATTTCGATTTCATTTATTTATTCAGCATTTTTTGAATCCAATAGAAAGTCAGGAAAAGAAAGTATTTTTTGTTTTTATTGTATTGCCCATCGGTGCTTTTTTTGATGTCATATTAATTAATGATTTCGTTACATTAATAAAGTCAATTAATAAATAAAAAGTTACTTGAAAGAAAAAAAAAAAAGTTATTAAATGTTGAAAAAATTAGAACAATATCTAAACTTGAATACAACCTTCCTATTGATCAGAACTGTAGAATAATAAAGCGTAAGAAATTAAAGATGACTATGCTATAAATTTATGTCAGTAGCAGCATTTAAATCAACTGGTATAATCTCCATTAGCTTATTCAACACCCCAGTGAAGCCGTTTTCTCTACAATCAAGGACTTAATTAGTATAAAAATATTTTTGTGAGTTTAAGCATTAATAATATAATCTATTTAAAATGAGATATCAAAATCAAAACACTTTTTTCATTATTTTAGAAATCTAGAATAAGGACATTAAATTAATCATAAAGTGTATAGTGAACAAATAGGAAATTAAAAATGATGGTTTCATTGAATGCCAAGTTTATTCATTGAAGATCAGAGTAAAGTAAAAATTCTTGAGAAAAACTGACCTATTATTGATCAATAGAAAATGAAGGATAACTTTTTGCTTTACATCTTATTATCTCATTTTTTCTTCATTACTTTATCCTCGATATCTGAAGATTTTCAATTGTTTTTTAATTTTTAAACCAAGTCTTTGCACGACCTTCGTATCAGGGCCATAAGTAGTTACACCAGATTATTATATTCAGATTAAAAATTATTAATAAAATCAATATTGGTAAAGTTATTTACATGGTATATTAATGTAGAAAGTTTATAACTACAATGTTTTATAATCAACTGAACACTTGGCTTTAATAATAAATTAATAACAAAATTGAATAATAATTAGATACAAATAACTACACTGATGGGAATGTTTTAAAAAATTGATTCCATTGCGAACAAAGTAATGAAACCAATTATGTATCTTTTTTTAAAATGTCAGATCTTGGAGACTCGAAATCAACAATAAAGATAAGTGTAAAAATACAAGATTATAGTTATTAAATAAGATAATTATTAGCAATGAAAGTTTGTTTTCATTTTTTCAACACAAAGTAATTCCAAAGTATGTTATATACATATATATTAAGCACATTGCACTTTTGTATTGGAGTGGCCTTTATGCATACCATGTTCGGACACCTGAAACCTGTACTCAGTGTTTTTGGTACTTATCTTCTTTGTTGATGCCATGCCTTATATATTTTTTCAAATAAGTGAAGCTTCACTTAATAAATATTCAATTTGTCGATTGAAAAAAATTTGTATTACTATTCATTTAATGCATAATTAATAAAATTAAATAGTATGGTTCAAATGTTAACGTAACTAACGGAAAAGAAATATTCAGTGATGGAAAAGCTAAATCCTAGAGCCTAGACCTAGATAAACTTGAAATAAATTTCAGCACTACTGGTTCATTGAATAAAATATATTGACTTGGGACTTTTATAATTGAAAAAAAGAATTGAATCTTTCTAGTAAAGGTGATTTTCCCTCTTGTTCAAATCTAACAGATGTGATAAATAACTTTCAAAGTTAAAAGTCTTCACTTGAAACGAAGAAGCTTCTGACCAAAACCGACTAGAATTTATTTTCATAAATACATAATCTAGTGGCAATGAGCACTAAATAAAACTTTCTTTCATTAATAAAATATCAAATTGTAAATAAATGTTGATGTGATAGATTTCCTGAAAAAAAGAATAGCAACACACATGCGACATAGGACAAAGTAATATATAAACGAGTACCATATACGAGAGGATTGTATCGAGAAATGCCAATAAAGGATCGATATCGTTATAAATCGATATCTACGGATGGGTACACGAGCGGTACTTGTACATAGGGCATCGTAACATGAGCGGTCGCTTATTATAAGCTTGAAAGACTGGCTCGCGAATGCTTGGGCAGGGTCGAATCATGGGTGGTCCGCTATGCTAATAACATTCGAGCATTTCCGTTGATTCTTGTGCTACCAGGTCTACGATCATCTTCCATTTCCCTCTCATTACTACCTCTTTAGGTCCCTGCAATATTTCTCTACTGCTATACTTATTTCCAGTAATGCAAATTGCTCCGAGTCCATTAGTGTGTATTTTCAAGTTAATTTACAAAACAGTTGTGATCAGCATACATTGCAAAAAAAAAATCTAGAACATTGCTAGTAACATTCGGACAAATCTTTTAGTATTGTAGAGAGAAGTAGCAACTTAGTGATGGCTACTGATGTTGTAACCAGACATGTTCACATGGAGATGCCTCCAGGGTAAAATAATTTTTATTCAGTCGCAAGACCGCCTTCGCTACTATTATACCAGACAAGCGATTTTATTTTTTAATATAGGTAGCAACTCCATGACATATGTCAAATGTGAAAGACAAGCATACTAGTGTAACGAACGAGTGCGAAGGCCGTTCTGAATAAAAAGAAAGTGAAGAAAAGGGCACGTGCCAATAACTAATAAAGAATATTAATGTTTAACTGTCATTCTCCATTGTTACTTTATGTAGTACAATTGAAATAGGATATTCTCGTCTAACAGAAAAGAGAAAAATAAAATGCTTCCTAAAGATCTGTAAATGGCTCAACATTTTAACCGCAGGCCCGTTATGGTGTAGTTAATCGTAAAAAAAAGAAATTGGAGAAGGTAAATACGTCAAGATGAAACTGAAGAAACGTTAGGTTCTTTAACTTTTTCTGGATAATTTACGCAATAGTTTTTTTATAGTTCAACTAAAATAGTTGTATGTTTATTATAAAATTAGATTAGTTGATTTCAATTCTATGATATTGATTCAAATCTGTATAAAAGCTGTAGATCGGAAGGTGCACGATCGTCTCGATGTTTGTAATCTCAATATGCCTGAGGTCTTTGAGCCGTAACGACAACGAGATGGGGAGCATTTGCAATGATCACGAAGCCGCCAGATGGTGACGACATAAATCGATCGAATGATCAAGCTACTCGGGTAGTTTCAATATTCGTGATTGAATCATTGCTTTTTTTCATGATTTATTGACAAAAAAGTCACCGTTACTTTGATCCAATATAATATAGTCATGATTATTCTCGTCTAGACAAATTGAAAAAAGTTTTATATTCATCTTGATTAAATCAAAATAAATATGATTGTCAAAGCTGTTAAAGTGTTTGTCATGTAACAAATATTAAAACGCATGTTAATATGCATGACTTCTTCTATTGCGAATCTCTAAATTAGTCTTCAGTTGTCAAAATATACTCTAATCAACCTTTCAAAGTCCACGCAAGTGTTCCTACTGTCGAGAGGCTATCAATCTTAGGAAATTAGAACAAAAATATCCATAATAAAACTGTCATCAATTCTAGATGACTGGAGATAGATTTAGATGTCTATAATCAATCATGGGGAAAATTTTGAAGACATAATGATCAAAGTGTCATTAGGATTCTTTGCAACAATATTTCTCAATGTTATTTCTCTATGTTAACTAGCTAGAGGTTCTTTAAACGAGCTAATGTAGTGTTAGTGTTACCGTTTCAGCAACTCCTTGAGTCTACATCCGCATCATAGTCTTGGTGCGTAAGTCCCCGCTCTGGAGTATATTCAGACAGGGCGCGTGGCTGATACTTTCACTCGTCATGGTAGTCCCCTCATGTCTCCAATCTCTGAGAGTTTTTCCCCCAGGTTTCTGCTGAACAAGACAACGCCTGAGAGATGCCCGTACTACTGGTCAGAGCCTTTTCCGCTCTGTACGACGCCTCAGACATTTGCCAACTATTTTTCTTTCTCTTTTTCTATCTCTCACTACTGTTGCTGCTGAGTACTTAGATACGATCATTGACATTCCACTTTTGCTCTTCGCACCGGTGAAATGATCCGGAGCGCTTCGAGTTTCACCAGTTTTCCCAGACTTGCGAAATCCATAAAAAGTATACGCTTCAGTACTTGATGATTTCGGCAACATCCTGTTTCCTTTATAGATTAAATTGTCATTTTCCAATAAATTAGAGCTATTTGTGATGTTAAGAAATACACCAATAAATGCTATGCTCTATCGGTATCTGGAACGTGAAAAAAAAGTTAATGAGGATTGTTATCAAAATATTAAGAACGATGATGAAGCAAATTCAAAAATACTCATTGTACTCACCAACATCCCTCTTACAGCTCAAGGTCGAGATGCCGAGAAAGTGAGAGAATCGATTCCGAGATGGTTACCGCCTCTGTAAGGCGCCTACTTGGGCGATTAATCACGTCGTTAGCAGCGTTCCAGGTGGAAAATGAATTTCAATGCATTGGCATGTCCATTGAGTTAGTTTCGATGGTATAGTGGAGATTAGAAAAACGATCAGGTCATTTTATCAATTGCCACGAGTTTTAAAATACATCTATATAAAGTCATGTAGAGCAAGGCTTTCATCTCGAATCTCAGTTAATGCACCTTACAAATCATTACACTAGATATCTTTCTCACAAAGTGTGGGATCGATCGGTGACAATTTCGCCAACTCCAAACGCAGCTAAACCACATAATTAAAAGAAATTTTCCTCCATCAATTATACATCATCTCTGATAGTCATCCATAACGTTGACTTCAACTACTCGTCTTCTTCTACTGTGCAATCTGTGCTGAACAAAAAACAAATAAGAAGCATCTTAATAATAATGATTTAAAACACTCAAAATTGAATGAAAAAGTATATATAAAATATAAATAAATGATTAAGTTGATTATTGGACAAGTTAAGTGCATGTGTTGTTGAAAGTGAACACGATGCTTCCGCACGCATAATCATCTAAGCCAAAAGATGCCTGTAGGAGCAAAGAAAAGTCGCCTCTGTACTTGCTATTAAGGCTCGAGATGGCAGTCATGCGAAGCAAGTTGTAAGTATTGTGGGCGGGGTGATCCAGAGAAAGCCACGCGCAAGCTGTAGTGTTTCGCGTTCTCCAAGCACACTCGTCTTATGCCACCGCAAGGCGTGTGCCGCTTTTTTTCTTATCTTTTTTTTAACCGTAAGAGGGCGAACGTGCGCGAATAGTCTCCGCTTACTTTATCGGCTCACGACCCTAAGGAAAGTCACTTAGCAGCGTAAAGCCAGCTCGAACGATAACGGCATGACCATTATATCTCCAAGCTCTTAAATGTCATTATGCTCTATAGGCTATATATGTAAGTATTATAACTGGTCATTGATTTACTCTCTAGCCAAGGAGGACACTTTTGTTATATAAATTTTCACTTAGTTCATTTAGATAAATAGTAATGAGTATAAATTGATTGAAAATTATATAGATATCATTACCATAAGTAAATAAATTTATCGCTGAACGTCAGATAAGTGCGGTGTATTATAGAGAAGAAATTGAAGTTGGCAAACTAAATCATCTATGTCATTAGGAAGATATATACCTCTAGAGACTCTGCATCCACACGGACGATCCAGCATCACGTCCGGTCGATCTAGTTTCATGATCTGTTCCGCGATGAAAGCGAAGAGACTCTCTATAAGTCCGACTTTGGAAGAATAAGGAATACTGGATACATCAATCTGGAAAGTATCGAAAGTAAAGCAATTAATGTCCATTAAATTGAAGCTTTAACTTTTAAACTATGAGAAAACGGGAAATTGAATGCAATCAGTTTTAACTGAATCGTAATTTCCGATACTTGGAAAAAAAAGTTTAAAAAAAATGGTAACATTGCTACCTACACCAAAATTTGAATTCAGAAGATTAGACTTAGAAAAGTAATCGCGTGTGGACGTTTTAAGTATATTCAAGTGGCAATCACGACCCACATCCTGTGCAGATAAACTAAAGTCCAGTTTCTTAAGAAGCAGAGGCTCTCAACATAATGCCATCTTATTTCAATTAAATCCATTCAATTTCATGTTGAAAAGTAATTAATTCATTTTTGAATTCATTTAAAATACATCAATAGAATCATTGACATAAAAGCGGTAGAAAAATTTTTTAATTAACAATTATTAGCTGCTGATAAATAATTCAAGCACCAGTAGACTAAATACGTGAAAGATAAATATTCTCAAAAATGATCAACTCAATCAGCAATATTAACAGAAAATTTCCTCCTCACGTGCGAGAAAAAAAAGTCATATCGATCGATATTAATGACGCAATGGGATAATTATAAATGATATAATTTGTCAAGCAGTACAAATATAAACACATTCGTAAGGTGTAGGTTTATCAGTACATTCACCTTCTGCATATGATTAAAAATGATATTAACGTATTGGAGAAGGTAGAATGATATTCAAGTTATCCTGTTATTTTTTTTTTGAAGCAAGGAGAGAGTCTTATTAGAAATTACGATCCCCTGGGAGGTGATACGTGTGCTGGTCCACTTCCTGCTTTTTTGAAGATATCGTCCACCCAGAGCGTCCACTCCCGTTGTAGTACATTTACATCCATTCCTCTGGATCGTCTGTGAGTACATTAATGTGTGGTAGGACATTGCGAATACGAAAGACACAAGCACGGAGACTGGTCGTGGACTCGTTATCAGTACATCTACGCCTTGTGCCTCTTTCTCAACAACTGGACCTGGACGTACATATATAGGAGCGGGTTCTATTCTATTTTCCTTTCTGTCGATGATCAAGCTATCAAATTAACACGTTCACCATGCTCAGAAGAAAGATATAGTCTTGTCTTCTTAATCTTTAAGAGACTGTCTTGAAGCTTCCGGTTTCTGCTAGCACAGTATACAAGTCTAGAACGTTAAGATTCTCGTTTTCATACTGGATCGTTAATCCTCCAACTTTCCTTTGGTTCTTCAAGTCTATTTGCTACTAATTGAGGCTAATAGTTGATTATTTTTTCTTTTTTTTGCTGCTAGTTTGTTGATTGAAGATCCATAGACTGCAGCAAATCACGTCAGAGCTTCCACACCCTTCTTTTTACTTGGTATTTTTATATATCCAGTGGCATTCCAAAGGATCTACATAACCTCGAGTATTTCTTTTGGAAAGTTTCAGATCATCTATCTTTGTGGAGGTGCGGTATTGAAGTGCAGCTCCAAGCAATCTGTTCAAGGATCGATTTAAGAGGAAAATAAACTTGAATAAGGTAAATTGCTTAAATTCTCCTGATGGTACTATCACTACATGCAGGCTACTAAACCAAGGTCTAGTTGGAATACGGAAGTAGTTCAGCAACTAGGGAGAGTTCTAACCATTTATCTTAGTTTCATTCTCATATGCATGTGCGTGTAACGCCTTTGCTTGGACATCGAGAGCACTCCAGGACAAAATAGAAATCTGCGTGTTGCTTTATAGATACTACTCTCTCATTTAAAAGGCTTACACTATGAATGCGCACGCGACTACTTCTAACGACTCGTCGAGGTGAACGGATTAACGTCAGCATCCATTTGCGTCTCTTATAATTATGTCCAGTTTCGTATTCGGTGTCTGTTTTACTCTTTGTATAATACTACCGGCCTTCTTTTTATACCTTGGAAATTACACTCTTAAACATCACCAATTTAACATTACCGTTTTATAGTTATTGTGGATAAATATATTAAACGTTAATGTTCAATAAAAATGTACCGTGCGCATTTTTTTACGACACTTTTGACCTTTTTCGAAAAATTCACCTTGAAATCTCAACACTATCTGCACTGCAATTTTGTCTGTAGGATGTTTACACATGTCGTTATAGTAAATTTCAATCGATTCTGAATGGACAATGGACTGTAAAGTATCTCCTGTTGCCAACAATTTCAATTTCTCGCTGCATTTTTGTTGAAAACAATGAAAAAATTCAATTCATGTAGATCAAAGATGTAGAATAAAAAATTGCTCCAGATCACGGAAGTAATATAAACGTTTGGTAGATCAGTAACTTCCTCGATCAAGAATGGATCAGCGATAGCGGCCAAGAAACGCAGAGGCGAGAGATCGATGTTGATCTGTTTAAACATCAAGTTTTCCTTCTTTTGATTCTTATCCATATTAGTCTCGCTAGCCCATGAATTATTTTTTCAGACTTTTATAATACATAATGTAAGCCTTCTTTGTGACTTTTAAATGTCCTCGTAAAATACGTCGTTACTCAGCCACCTAAACAATATCGAGATTTAATTAATTACCATTTGTACATGTTTACAATATACGTCGTTGGGTATTCATAAACAAAGTCATTAAACATTTCAAGGATCTAATAGTTATTTGCTGATTTATTTCAAGTTAATCATTTCTCAGGGTAATTATTGCAATCAGGTATTTTCGTTGATGTTAACTCATCATATTTCTGTATAACAGGAATCAACATATATAAATTTATCTGCAATATTTAGAATTTGTTTATCACTAATTAGACTTCAGTTTATCTGTGAGACTAAAAAATGCAGTGATATTTTTCGATTCTTCTAAGTGATTTCTTGGAGAACTAAATTCAAGTTAGATTGCTTTTTGTTATTTATAGATACTTGAAGAGATCACAAATCATAGCGAGATTATTGAGATAAATGGTAATAGTTATTGAGATTATCATCAATAGTTACTGAGTCACTGTTCAGCAGGAGAATGTAATTGATAAGAATATTGAGCTTGCAAGGAAGATGCTCGTGGAATTGATAAGTGCATAATGATTATAATAGTACTGGCATTACCTTTTGTAAAGAAGCACCAAAAGGAGCAACCTGAGCATCTTGCATTCCGCATCTTCTTATCTCTGCTCTTCCTACCACGATTATTATTATAACAGTAGGCTGGACGAGAGTAGCATAAACGTAGTACAGTCACCGGGCGTCCTGTGCAATCATAACGGTACTGCATCCACTCCTTATTCAGACGCTCTAGTGTACTCTACAACATATTATATTAGATGATTATTTTATACCCACTAAATGTGCTAAATATCTTAGTTATTGAGGAAGCTACGATAAACTTTATCAAATTAACCTGATTATAAAATTTAATGTTTTATTTATTTTATAAATAATTGCATTGTCTGTAAAACAATAGCTCAATAAAATTTATATCAAACTTATTTCTATCATCAGTTTAAATAAATAATGCACATAATATTGTCTTTATCATATTTTATGAATGTTCATTTTATCTTTCAGCACTTAAAGCATCTTTTTATACTCATTAGATTTATAAAATATCTCGACTATTGGAGAAAATCATTATGATAACTTGGACAAAATGAATCCTTTTGAAAGGGAAATTTATTCATTTACAAAAAATATGTATTATAATTTAACGACGTTATTATAATTTTCCATTGCTGCAAATATATTTTTGGATCATAAAAAATTTTATGATTATTTTATGCAATATTTTAACAATAGTATACTGGATTACTCATAAATATGATAATCAATTAAATCATTTATTTTTTTATATGAAATTGACATTTATGCTTTAATAAAAAAATATACTTACAATCAACAAGTAGGACAGGGCTGTTAATTGGTACGTTGGTACACATTTTTTTTTCTTTATAAAAGCTATTAAAGTATTTTTATTCTTGATTCGCTTGATTTGATCAGTAACAATTGTTAGATGTTTACAAATGGCAAAAAAAAGTAAAAGATATATTTAGTGAGTCATCAATTTTAAACATATGATAATGTAATTCATAGTGTAACACCTAGGATGCTTTTTACTTTCAATGATGTCGTCATTAGATCCAAGTTGTCGATAGAAGAGAAGACTTTTAAGAGATTAAAAAGATCACAAGAAGTATAAATAGTCAAACTGGACTATCACGCGATCATAGACCAGGTAGAGGGTAGAAGTGTATAATCCGAATTCGGAACTGGTTTACGACGAGTCTTGTATATAAAATACGCCTACCAGTATCCAGCTGGACTTGTTAGTTCTGGAAGTTCATTTAATTTAATTAACGAACGAGCAAAGTAGTTTCGATAAATACGAAAGCAAATTGGCTAAAGATGAAAAAGTTGAGGAAGGCCATGCATGACAAATTTCTCTTAACACTTATAACTTATAATACTTGGCATGACTGCAATAGTATTTCATCATTTTAGAAACACCAATACACCAGGTTAGCATCAAGTTTTTGTCTAAGAATCCTTAATCACGTGTTTCCTGCTTGCGAAATATTTTTTGTGCGAAAATGACTTCCCGTGACTAAAGATAATTCCAGGATAATGTGATGTTCATGTAGAGGGAGATAATTGATAGAGCGGTGTTTTATCCAAAAATATTGCGTGTAAAATGCGGCAGCATCAGTTGGTGGTAGGTCTTCTTGGTCCCATGCACGAGTGATCTCGATTCCAGGTCTCGGGTGGAGTCACGTAGGTGTAGTCCAACGTAAATGTCTCGACCACACGTCTAGAAACCTCTTAGTGAGCGTCACGTAGCGACCTCGTAGTCATACGTACACGTGTGGCTCCTCTCTTCCTCTCTCTACATCGTCGTTGCTCAGGACTACATCGTCGTTCGGGTCCAGGTGAGCCGGAGATCTGCGTGTCTGTATCCGCGAGACGAGGCGAAGGTGTATGTGCTTCTCTGTCTTGTCCCTCGCTTGCTTCGTCTCTCCATGGTGAAAGTGAGCGCATTCCATGGCCACTGGGACCACGCCCGACTAATACAGAGAAAGAGCACAGAGAAGCAGATAACTTGGGTTTGCCTTTACACCAACTCAACATCTCCGCCGCGAAGTCATCGTGGTCCATGCTGTATCCTTTGCGCCACATGTTACGAGTCTTATAACGTAGGATAAGAGAGGAAGAAAAAAAATGGATGCACTAAATCGTTCTCTGTAAGTTGCGCAATTGCATTCAAACGGACAGAGGCTGACCCTATGCACCAGGAGAGCTGGGTAGTCGTGTGTGAATATATACTGTTTCTCTCTTATTTTTCTCTGTATACGTTACCCTGGTTTATAGCTTTTGTAAGGAACTCGTTCGATGTCGAGACTCAGTGCTCGTATCACCACGTAAATCGCGTCGCCCAGGTGTTTGGGTTACACGCGCATTTCCTAGCTTGGGATCATTTAGATAAAAAAAGCTAAGCAAAAACGTTTAGTTTCCAACCAAGAAGAAATAATGAGACATGAAGTGAATCATGATGGGAGAGGCACTGGAAGTTGAAGCCGAGTGTTTCGAGGTAATTGATGCACCGAATTGCGAATAACACTCGTGAGAGATATCTTTGGGAGAAGCGCGCTCTTTCGCAACAGCTTTCTGGATGAAGCAGCCGTCTGGTATACTTAACTCTTCACAGGCCAAGGGCAGTCACGCTCTTTTTAAATCCCGACCAAAGAAGACTATTTCGTCGATCAGACATCTCTTCTTTTGTATTATTATTTTATTTTTTTTTTTTCTTTTCATGGATTCCATCATTGCGGTCCTTCGAATCTCCTTTTTGCCCTTGATGGACAGATGAAAGTTTTAATCAGAGGAACTTGAAGATATCTATATATCCAGCGCACCCTGATGAAGATTTGCGCAATATTTTTGAAAGTTTTGGCGAAAACCAGATGAATTGACGCGTCGATTACACTTGGCAGGCAGGCATGTAATTAAACGATGAACCTAAGTACGGTGCAAAGGGAAAGGCAAATCGAGACCAGATCCATTTTGACTTGTTTTTTGAGATTAAGACACGCTCGATAATTATTTCGACGAACAGAAGGCAACTGAGTTAATCCGACAGCACTCATCTTATTCTCTTCTGTCTACCTTTGAACCGTATAAACAGATATGAAAAAATAACTTGGATTACTACTTACATTGCCTACTCGTCTTAATCTCACGTCCAAAAACACTTGACCTTCTTCTTTCATCTTCATCTATATCCGGATTATAAAACACCCACTTCTCTGAAATTCATAACAATTTTTATGAAGTATACAGTTATGAAAGTAGCTAATGTTATCACCAAATAGGTTCATCATAAGACATATGATGAGAGTATTACGATAAATAAATTTTCTTTATGGCGATATATATTTTTATGGAGTTTAATGAAATTTTTAAAATATATCCAGCATAGATGAATAAATTGTTCATTCATTCATGGCTAAAATGGTTTAAATTCTTCTCTGAGGTTCAATTGAATGTTTGACATTTTTAACTATAAAAAATATGTTGACATTTCAATTATTTTAAAAAATCTCATTTCAATTATTCAACAGATTGAATCTTTTTAAGTAAAAAAATTGTAATTCAACAATAATTGGTTTTAAAAAATTTTATCTTGCAATAAGTTGAAAGTTAGAAATAACAAGTTAGATAATTTATAATTATTGTTTCATTATAACATATAATATTATTAAAAAAAAATCATCTGCATGTTGAATATGATCTGATATTAATTATAATATCAATCAGTTTATGAAAGAAATGTTTGCATTAAAATCTAATCTTAAACTTAGTTGGACTTTGTTATTATTTGATTAGATTTACAATTCTATCTCAATTTCAATTCAGTCTTAATCTATAACGATGTGTAATTGTAAACATTGTTATAATAAACTGATTTAATTATACATAAAAAATTGATTATTTATCAAACAAATTATCAGAAAAATGGAAATAATGATGTTGAAACAAAGATAAGTATTGTAACAAAATATATACATATATATTATTATAAATGTCATATTAATATCTGTATTACTCATAGGTGTTAATTTTATTTTTATTACATTATAAATAAATTAATTTCACTAATTCTCCGATAATCTGTTCTCCAGTAAGTTTAAAAAAGAAATGTATTATTTAAAAGAAATCTCTTAAAGATTCAACACGATCAAGTGAGCAGATTCAATTAAGTAATAGCCTGGAAAAATATAACATCTTTAAAGTTTAACGATGATAATGGACACCAATAAAATACAGTTTATCGTACAAATAAAATAAAAGCGCCGAGATTGGAGTAACTCCTCCCTACAGCCGATCAACAACTATATCCATGCGGTGGAAGGTAGTTTAATTTCGCTTTCGAAATACCGTTAAATCGATCGATCGAAGCTTGAATTACCAAGGAATACAGTTCGAGGCCGTTGGCATCTCGATCTTGGCATTCCAATCGATTGCCCCAAACTATCAGTGATATATATTTGTACATATATTTACTTGCGACAGTCTTACTAAAAAGTATAACAATATTACAGATGAAGAGAATTGATATTGTTATTAATCACCTATCGACTGTTGGAATTTTCGATCTACCGATTGATAGTGCAGTGAAATGAAACAGTCGTGAGGATTTGAGGGAAACCCTGGAGGACTAATAATTTCATCATTATATTCCTGTGCCGAAATGATCACGAATCAATCCTTCTGTTGCATCACTTGATCATTATTATACTTCAATTCTTACCTGATCGACCAACCAAACAAGGGATTTCTCTTGTCCAGTAATTACCAAGTACTCTCTGATGTAGTCGTATTCCAAGATACATTTCTTCAATAGCTCCTTCAATTCATTTTCCTTGAGTCTTCATCGATCCTTCGATATCTCCCTGCAATATCATCATCAAATCAATCAGTCGTAATATTATTATTATTGTTATTATTATTCTTTTTATTATTTTAATGATGTTAAAAATTGGTTCAATGGGCAGACGTACCTTTCTCAGGCTAACTAACTTCCTCGTGAATCAAGAGCCATCTGAACTTTGCTTTTCAATTTTTCAACACCACCAGGATGTATAGGTCAGTGTACTTGTTTATTTGAAATCCCAGATATTGAATGGACAAAAACTGCAATAGAAACAACCAGATTTAGTTATTGATCAGACAGAAGGAGAGAGTAATATATCACCTTTTAGTAATTTACTATAAAATATTATTTAGAGTCTTTGATTGAGTGTATAAACTTTTTAGCAAAAAGTTATTGATGTTGATAAAATTGAATGTTGTATAATCATAAATTAACTTACTCCCTAATATATTAATTAAAAAATTATCAATGGAAGATCTAAAATATCTATTAGATTGATTACTAGATTAACTTTAGGTGGTTGCAGCAAGTATTCCCAAGCTATTTGAAGATTATCTTGATAATTTCTATTCCTAAATAATTCTTCAACATGTTATCATAATGTAAAAGCCACCCAACTACAAAATTTTCTTATTTTTATTGTATTATTATGGCCACAATAAATTTTCTAATCTCATAGAATAAGCAATGGTATAAATAGTAAAAGACTAAATAAATTTACTTTGCTACTTTTTTTATGACTGTTTGTTACTTAGTCATCATAAATAAATGTACAAACTTATAAAAACTTGAATCTATTGCGTAAATTTATTTACTAGCACTCGATAACGTCCAAGAACTCCCACACAAAAGGAAGCAACTCCATAGAGATCAATTGGTTAAAACATAGGTAATAAATAACGAGTATATTAATATAGACCCCGGAAAATATTTGATTTGGAATACGGATAATATCAATATAAGTCTTTTGTGTATCGACTTTCGAGCATGTAGTGTATGAGAAGATCACGAAGCTCTTACGAATAAATGCATAAGGATCAGATGGATGCTAGAGACCAGGGCGTGGTCGTATTTATATAAGACTCGTTCACTTGCGAGATATATTTGTACTTTTTTTTTCGTCACTACTATTGATTACTCGAGACTCCTGAGCTTTGTTTAATTCTCTGCTTACAGAATATAATCAGGACAATCCCCTGACATTTGACTATTTACTCTTAAACTTATTCTAGTCTGTTTTGTTGTGAATAATAATAGGATAAAATTATTTATCGATTGAAAATAATTTTAACCACATCATCGAGTTAATTGAGTTTATCAAATCAACAGCAGTCGAATGAAAAAAAATATCATGTTAATTAAAATGTGATGAAATAGGATCTCAGATGTGGCATTCCTATTAATACTGATAATAACAGACAAGTGATCGTACTTCAGTTGATATTAATATGTCAAGATAAGTCGTGGGAATTTTCCAAGAATCTTAAACGGAAGCTATAACGGATGATTCGTATTGCGTGGGCATTTAAATCACCTGAAGTGTCGGAGAATGGATTTATAAATTAATTGATAGCAAAAAATTATTGCATAAATCATCTTCATGGAAAAACGAGAATGAAGATTGATCAATTTTAACTGAATTTTCAACTGATTTGAAATGTATAAGTAAAGAATAAATTATTTCACTGGATAAATTTTAATTGGTATCAATCGTCAATTACCGAGAATATTTTTTAACTTTAAATTTAATTTTTCTTATGATTTTACATGAATTAATTTCTACTTTTTATTTCCTCAGGAAATTTAATCAGAATTCATTTATTCTTCGCTATGAGTTATTAGAAATTTATTAATGAGATTTATTGAGAAAAATCTTCCATTGATTTAATAACTAATTAAATAAATATTCAAAAAATTGCAAAAATTATACATTGAGAAATATTGAATGAGAAAATAATATTGAATTTAGTGTAATAAGTAACTTGGAGAGTTACTTAATAGAAAAAAAAATAAAATAAATGATGATTATTGGCGATTATTGTATATACTTGTATCACCTAAAACACATTGAATTCTCGTCAATTTATATTTGCGAAAGTCCATGTCAAGACGCAAAGATTAGCCCCAAGTGCTCATTACTTTTCTTTCTCTCTCTCTTTCTAGTTCTCTTTTGCACTCCACGCGCCGCTCCTTTACAACACAAGCCGCAAAGAGTTGGCGAGAGATACTAACGGATTAAAGATTAGTGGGTGTGTTACAGGTCGATACGGGTGTGCGACCATGCGTTGAAATGAAAGGAGACGCGACTCCTGAAAAAAAATCCTAGACTACGGGTTTCTGCACGCGTTATCCTAAAAGGAGAGCGTCGATCGAAACACGATGGACTTTAATCACTGTATAAACAGCTCGAGCGTTCGTTTTATCTTACATTCATTTGAGTAATATATTTAATTAATTATTTAATTTCCTGATAATATAATGATAATAGTCATCAGCACATATCTTACCAGTTTTTTCAATAGATAACTATGAACTGAAAAAAAGACTTTTGGTACTTTTTTTGTAACTACTAAGATACTTCTCAGCATCATAAATTTTTTTTTCTACTTTCTAAACTCTAGACTGGTTTCCCGAAACCAGAGGACTTTGATTAGTTCTACATTTTTTATCTACTAAGAGATTGGCAATAATAATGTTCGGTGGTGCGTAGAGTATTGCCTCATCGACTAGCGGCTTGTCACGTTGGAAGAACAGGTAAACCTTTTCTTCTTTCTATATCTAAGAGTTATCAATCCCTCAATGCCTTCTAGTTTAGATTCAAGAAAAGATTGTTCAAGTCCATTCAAAAAGAATTGAATAATATGCCATGGTTTACATGACACTACATAATAGTAGAGTGTAGACGGGTGCGACCTTAGAGGTTTACATTACAGTTTATCATTACGAAATTGATGAAAATTTATAATTGTTCAGTTACAATGATCATTCTATCAATCATCATAGGTGATATTCATCTAAATAATAAGAATATTTCGTTCTTCTAAAAAAATAATTTTTTTTTATATTTTAATTGTTTCAATTCTATTAATACTCATGATTATTTTTTCATGCTCTTTATGTAATTATTAATTAATTGAACAATAAAAAATTATTGAAATTAGATTTAATACAATTTCGTATAATCTAGATAAATATTTAACTAAAATTGTTATACATTATTTGTTAACATTTTTGATAGATTTGAATTCAATTTACAAATTCATGTTAGCCAACTGTCTAGTTAAATAAAAAAATAACAAAAATTTCTGCAGTTTTGCCAACTGTTTAATGTTGATTTATATGTAACGATAGCAGATGTCATGCAAATTAGCAATAATGCATCCTATACTTCATAACGACCGATTCTAGAAGGCCGGAGAATCAATGAAGTTTTAGTTAATTGGTAAATTACAAATCAAGAATTGTTAGTTAACTAATATAAAATCAATTTAATAGTTATTAGTAAAATACTATTTTTTAAACGATGGAAAATAGTGAACTAACTAATGATAAATCAGTAACAGCAGGTAATGATTTGTAATAATTACTAACATTGATTATAAGGTTATAAAAAAACAATTTTTGCAAATTTTAGAAGATGATAAAAGTGAAGAATCTGTAGAAGTAGAACCAGAAGAAAAAACAGCTGAGGATGATGAGGAACCAGAAAGAATCTGCATCATAGATCCTAGTTCAGAAGTTCGTATTCAAGTTATTATTATGTGAATTTCTTACATATGTCAACTATCATGTGCTTTTTATTACGAATAATTAACGTTTAATGATACAAAATAGATCTATATAAGAAGCTTAATTGATTCTAGGAGCTGGATTTTAATCATTCAAGATTAACAAAATTGGAAAACTTAGAACCACTTACAAATATTCAAAAATTATGTTTTACGTGGAATTTAATTAAAAAAATAGAAAACCTTGATACACTTGTTACTCTTGTTGAATTGGAGCTACGAGACAATCAAATAACAACAATTGAAAACCTTGATGCTTTAATCAATCTTCGGTACGTATATAAATTGTCAATGAGAAACAATTTTAAATAAAATGGAGCAAAGTGGAAATATTTGTATTTAGAACATTTAATAGATATATTACCATCTTAAATGATAAATTTTGCTTATTTGTATTCTTATCATAATCTTTTATTTTAAGTAATTATCATCATTGATAACTGTAATCAATATATTTTTACAGAGTTTTAGATATTTCATTCAATCGGCTGAAAAAAATTGAGAATTTAGATAGATTAGTTAATCTAGAAAAGTTATTTTTATCATCCAACAGAATAACTCAGATTGAGAATATATCTCATCTACAAAAGTTGACTCTTCTTGAATTGGGTGACAATAAAATACGAAAGATTGAAAATTTAGAAGGCTTACAAAGTTTAAAAAATCTATTTTTGGGAAAAAACAAAATATCTAAGATTGAAAATCTAGAACATTTGGTAGATCTAGAGTTGCTCAGTTTACAGAGCAATAGAATAGTTAAAATTGAAAATTTAGATACGTTGACTAAATTAGATCAGCTTTATCTTTCTGAGAATGGGATAGAATGCATTGAAAATTTAGACAATTTGAAGCTGATAACCACTCTCGACTTGGCAAATAATAAAATAAAAAAGATTGAGAATATTAGTCACATGACACTTTTAGAAGAATTTTGGGTAATTATTATTTATTTTACCTTTCTTTTTTTGACATAAAAAATCAAACAAGCAATTTTTATTCTTACTAATCTATTATTTTAGGTCAATAATAATCAAATAGAAGATTGGACAACTCTTGATATTTTGAAAGAAATCAAAAAATTACAAACTATCTACCTTGAACAAAATCCAATTGCTAAGGATCCAAATTATAGGAGGAAAATAAAATTGCTATTGCCATGGTTGGTGCAGCTAGATGCTACTCTTTGTAGATAAACATCAGCCTTAATATCCAAGTCCAAATTTGTCATGAACGCAACTATTAATTGTACTAATCCTCATGATTGTTATCTAAAGTGGTCATATTAATTCCACCAGTGATATGTAATTCCGTTTTTTACTTATACATTCATTCGTATACAAATGTGATTATTCTCGGATTATATTCGAAATTATTTCAATAATCCATGCCAGTATTTGATTATTAATTACGCCAAACTTCCAATATTTAATATTGAATGTTAAAGCAGTTTGAATCAAATTAATATTTAGACATATTTTATAAATGTATTTAATGTTTGATATTAACTTTGCACTGAATATCTTGAATCAAAGATTATTCATGTTACTCTTTTGAATGATGCACATAAGAGGCAACATAAAAGCCAGTTAGCATTTTATTCATTGTATATTTTTAATAAAAGGAATATGATAATCTCATTCACGAAAATAATGTACTAATGGTGATTATTATTCTTATTTACTTCAATGCATCTCATATTCTTACGTTAATTTTCGAAATAAAATATTAATCTTATGCGATTGAATTTATTTTCTTTAGATAAGTAAGTTTATTTTCAAAAAATTCAATCTATTTGTTTCTATGAAAAAAGTTTTTACTGAATTTGAATTTCAAAAATTATTCCTACTTCAACAGAAGAAAATCGTTGAGCTTATTTTTTTAAAAAAGGTACATAACACATTTTGTTCTGCAGTTGTTTATATATACACATGTGTTTACATACGATCTAAGGATTGCATCAGTGATTTTTCCTTTATAAAATAGAAATAATTCAGTCATATTCAATCAAAATGTTCCTTTATGAGCAGTAATTAACATTATTGAGTCATTTTTCAATTAATAATCTATTGTGACCATGAATAATGCACGCTAATATTATGTAAATAAAGACCATGAGATTGAAATTAGTTAAATAAACATGGCCAAGGTTGAAATTACTTCGAAATCCATTCCTGAACTAAATATATGCTGTAAGATCTTGAAGAGCATTAAGGTACGTAATTAATAATTGTGCATGTTGTTTCATTTATGCTTTATTCACTTTGCAATGTAAAAACTTACCAATGATGACTAAATATACATATGAAATCAATCTTCCAATATATTTTAAAGGGTAAATTTGTTGTTTAAAACCTGTGCTTATTTATTGTTAACCTAATCATTAGTTGTAATATAATAATAACAAAGTTTGGGAAACAAGCTTTGTTTAGTTTTTATTTATGTGCTAGCTAGATGGCGCGAATTTAAATTCATGAGATCGAAAAATAAACAAATATTTATTCTGACAATTATAAATATCTAAACCAGTCGAGTTTATTATTAGACACAATATAATCAGCTCAATTTTCGAAGAAAATGCAAATAATTTAACGCTGACATGTAATTTATACATATCCAATATATTTCAACAGTCTGAGATGAATTAATTTTTCGTTGCAGGTCAGGTTAGTTGATAAAAGTAACTGCGGATTGGCTTATTCGAATAGAAACTTTTGATAATTGGTTTATAAAATTCCGGTTAGCGCGCACGCAGCAATTCGTGTGACGTCACCCACGGCACTCATCACGTCGGCCATTTTGTGAGTGTACCTCTATCAAGATATTTGTGTTGAGTGGCTGTTGGGGAAAAATCTAATGATTTAGTTAACTGTAGATTCACTTGGTCTTTTAATTACATGTGCTAAGTGCTAGATATATATTCAATCGTTATTTAGATCCTTACGATGGAGGAAAAAGCGTCTCTCAAGGAGCTTGACCAGTGGATAGAACAGTTAAATGACTGCAAACAACTGACAGAAAGCCAAGTAAAAACTCTTTGCGACAAGGTATGCATTAAAATTCTAAGTTTTTTTTGTAAAAATTTTTTTACGAAAATATTTACTCTAATTAAATTTAATTAGCTGTCATTAGATCGTACTCAAACTATGCCTAAATTTTATGCTCATTGAGCGTGCTTTATCTTTCACCCTTTTATCGGGCGGCATGTCATACAAAATTGATTGTTACCACGCATGAGAAAAAGAGTCAAAAAAAAGAGCCACTTGAGTCTCTAATCAGCAATAAGAAATTTCATACCTGCATTCATCAAAGTTATTTACTGTCACTACGAGATTTCCTTGAAATTTGAGTTGCTCACATTCCTTTGAAAACATCCTCAATTAATTATACTTTGAATAAATAAATTTATGATCTTGATCCACATCTTAATGAAATAGTATTATCTTTTATATTTTCAATCACTTATCTAATTATCTACGATTACTTGACTTATTTGTAAAGATTGCAACAGGTAAAAATCTAATATAAATCAATGGAGATTTGTGTAAAAAGTAAATTAAAATCAATAATTCGACACAGTTTATGTTACTCTACTTTGTGAGTGATTAATTATCTTGTACACTCGTAAAATTTATTAACAAGCACAGAGTGAAAAATGATTAAATAAAATCTTGTAATCAATACACTGGTGCATCATTACTCACTGCTTTTTATTCATCACCGATAAAATTATTAATTTACTCCATTCTTGTATTTAAATTAAATCAAATGATAGATTCAAAAAATAGACGAGTCTTAAAAAAATAATACAATTTTATTTTGGCTTTTCATAGTGAAAAAATTTTTTATTGGTTTTTCTCAGGCAAAAGAAATTTTGACAAAGGAATCTAACGTTCAGGAAGTGAAATGTCCAGTAACCGTGTGTGGAGATGTTCATGGACAATTCCACGACCTGATGGAATTATTCAGAATAGGTGGAAAATCACCAGATACAAACTACCTGTTCATGGGTGATTATGTTGACAGAGGCTATTATTCTGTTGAAACTGTAACTCTCCTAGTGGCACTTAAGGTATTTAACATTTTCTCTAATAATTAAATCTCTAATTCCTTATTCAACAAAAATACATAAACTATGAACAAATAATCAAGTTTCACTGTTTGAAATTGAAACCTTTTTATGTAGTCAAATTTAGTTAATCTCCTTGTTTAATATACAATAGTATAATATAGAAAAAAATCAATATATGTATAAATAGATAAATACATAAAAATAAAAATAAAAATATTAAAAACGTAACTGTCAATAACAGAACGTCTAATTGACAAATAAAACTCAATCATGAATATTTATGTTGTTGAATGTAATTATTACGTTTTTATATCATATAATAGCTTAACTACTACTTATTAACAATTTGTTTTTCAATTTATTAATACTTGACTATTTATAGTTTGTTCTTTTAGAAATAAATTTATAACTACAATTATACAAGAATAACCAAAATAAAATTGTAATTTAGGTGAGGTATCGAGAAAGAATAACCATTCTAAGGGGGAATCATGAGTCGAGGCAAATCACACAAGTTTACGGATTTTACGATGAATGTTTGCGAAAATATGGAAACGCTAATGTGTGGAAATTTTTTACTGATTTATTTGATTACCTGCCCTTGACTGCGCTGGTCGACGGTCAAATCTTCTGTTTGCACGGTGGTCTTTCACCTTCCATTGATACCTTGGATCACATTCGTGCATTGGACCGCCTCCAAGAAGTGCCACATGAGGTAGTTAATTCACCAACCTGCTACGTAATTTTAATATAGATAAATTAAAAACATTTAATATTATTAATTTATTTTTATTTTAGGGACCAATGTGTGACCTTTTATGGTCTGACCCAGATGATCGAGGAGGATGGGGTATTTCACCGCGTGGAGCAGGTTATACCTTTGGTCAGGACATTTCCGAAACGTTTAATCATTCAAATGGCCTGACCCTTGTATCGCGAGCTCATCAACTTGTCATGGAAGGCTATAATTGGTAAGATTACATGTGAATGATGGAAAAAATAACCGATCTAAATTCTTTTACTTTTTTTAGGTGTCATGATCGTAATGTCGTGACAATATTTTCTGCACCAAATTATTGTTATCGTTGTGGAAATCAAGCTGCGATTATGGAACTGGATGATGCTTTGAAATATTCATTGTGAGTATTATTGATTTTATATATTTAAAAGAAATTAACGGCAATTGACTCTTTTTTTTATTTATAGCCTTCAATTTGATCCTGCACCTCGGCGTGGTGAGCCCCACGTTACTAGGCGGACACCAGATTATTTCCTGTAAGATGTTCAATCCGAGGGAGATAGATTTTAAGGTAGGGGAATGGAAAGATGCTGTTGTTATAGTGATGCCATTTATCATAATCTTTATGAAAATCATAAGACGTGTAAGATATGAAAACAATTCTTATACGTAACTTATCAATTTCGAGTATTGTATCGTGGCTCACATTGCAGTATCTCTTTCAAACGAAAATATGCGCCTGTGTGCGTTTTCATACACACGCATTAGCATGTAGACACACGACAATTGTACACATAAGTATACCTACAATATTGTACACATCTATCAATTAAATTCACTGAGAATACTAAATTTGTGAATCGCAATGGATCGCTTGTATTTTTATTGAAGACAAATGAATACAAAGTATGTCAATGTAAAGCATTGTTATATATGCTAAATAACTACGAAATTATTACCAATATTTGGATAAACATTTACTAGTTCTCAACTATATAAAAATAACCATTGTAATAATAAAAAAAAAAAACAAAATAATTGGAATATCTACAATTATTTAAGGATGAAAGACATGCTCTTGTACGTGTCAGCTGATCCACAAGTTGAATTCTTTGTAGTTTATATAATTCATCTTGGTGTAATTGTATAAGTGAATAATAATGAAACATTACAAACGAGTCGGTGAAGAAACAAAGGGTTGATGCAATAGTGAGTTGACCCAAACTATCAATGAATGAAAACAAAATACATTTTATAAATCACAAAGTATCAAAGCTTGATAATAAGAGCTATAAAAAACTTTGTAGATATAAATTTCATCTATCGATCTTTAAAAACAAATATACAGAGACTTCAGAATAAATTATCAATTGTTGAAGTTAAACTCTGTAATAGTTACAACAACATCATACTTCCTAATTTTTTTCTTTACTCATGCCAGTACTATTTATCTTTAGTAAAGTAATCATTTTTATCTGTACTTTTTGTATAAAAAAAATTCACTTGTTAAGTGATAACTAATTTAATCTTATAAAAAATGCACTTCCTAATCTCAAATAAAAATTTTTTAAATATCTGTAAACACTTTTGCATCAAGCCTTCATATAAAAATACTGGCATCCACAGCAGTTACGTTGATTTTCAATTGTTCATAAATGATTATTGACGACCTTTTTACTAATGAGAATAAAAAATGATGCTTCTGATGAATAAAAAAAATATGTAATACAAGCCAAACCAATCTTTGTCATGTTGTGTCAAATTATTCATTAAAATTGAAAAGAAAATAACGGAATGAAAAAACATTGGCATTGTAAACATAAACATCCATCCACACAAGAGATTTATTCATAGACATAAGCATGCATAATAATTAACTACATTAATATTTCTAGAGTGGCTTTAAAATAGGTATTATCACATGAACGATGAAGCGAACGTGAAATGTGTAGATGCGCGTTGTAGTAAATTGTAAATTAATCAGTAACAGGAGTTGTAAAGTATCCTGAGCATGGATCATCGTCACTCTAGACGGTGATGAGCATTTTTTTTCTTTTTTTCATTTTATATTATAATCTACACATGTTGAATCATATTGATAAGAATAAAGTTTTCGTATAAAAAAAGAAGACTTGAAATTGGAATACTTCATATATTACATGAATTATAGATTTTAATGTATAGATAATTTTATATTTGCCCTATTTATTGTATGTCAAATAATTCTAATATTGCATACGTATACAATTTTTTAAATTACGTTTATCCGAAATCACTTCAGTAATAATTTGTTTAACAAATACTTCATTCAGAATTTAATTCTTGTACTCAATTTTTTTTAGATTTAAAAAGTCAATACTTCACCAGTGAATTTTTAGTTGCAATAATTGAAAAAAATTTGCATTTATTCGATTTTTATTGCTGACTCGTACTTTTATTTTGCAATCATATTTGACGATTAATTGAAACAATTACTCGTAGAACCTATGTATTAATTAAAAACGACGTTCATATTATTCTATGTTTCTTACTTTCATTTTCATTATTAATCTTAATTTAGGAAATAAATTGTAAGAAACAAATATAAAAATACTTTTATCTATTTTTTCTATCCAATACCATTTATAATACAGACAGTGATAATTCATACATTTATTCACTACTACTTGTTCCCTTGGTTTCAATGATTTTATATAATCTGAATTCATCAACAATGTGTTTTAAATCTTTTTCATAAAAATATATATATATATATATATATACATATTATGTTTATATATATTTTTCAAATGCTATGTTACAATATATATAAATTATTGAGGTACAAAAGATTTAGTTTCTCCAACCCAAAAAAAGTGTCTTTAAAAATGCACCTCATTAAAAAAAAAGATAACTGCATCTACATAAATATACATTATTTAACTATTCTTTTATGAAATTTTCAATCCTGTATCCAGTCCTAGTATTTGTTTCGTTATTTCATAAACTGTAAAGCTTACAGAAACCATAGGAATAGCTCGTAGATAATTGATACTCATCCCTCGGTAGAGTCCTTTGACTATTCCATTTTCTAAGTAGATCAGTTTCAATGTTGATAACATGTTCGATCTGGAATAATCATGAAATGATGTTTTACGAATGTATGAATATTGTTTATACATTAATAAATATTTTACCCGTATTTATGTGTAGCGGGATCCATCATGGCTAATTGCATTCGTCTTCTGGTGACGTCTAGTGGATAGGAGAAGCTTTGTGCTACAGCTCCTGCAATACCCCCACAAAGTAATTTGGCTGGTAACGTTAATACGAGGCCACCTGGTAAAAAAAAAATATGGATAAACAATCTTTGTACTTGTCTCAACTGTTTTTATTTATAATTTCTCTTCGTCAATGTTTTTATCGCATTTCATTCAATGTATTATCAGACGCTAATTAAATATAAAATAAAGCTCTATGCGCAAATACTTTCTTCCTAATTTTAAACTAAAAACTTGACATTCAGACAATAATCTAATCATTTTTACCAAAGTTTACGATAATATTTCAATTACTACATGACTCACCAGTATTTTTTGAATACTCCTCGCATAGATAGTGAGGTGCATATTTCATACATATGAATTTAAGATATTCAAACGTATAAAATGAACATCCACCATAGGGGATCATTCCAATAATAGTGGGCCAAAATCCACGATATAATGCTGTTAATCCTCCTTCCTAAAATTTTTGGTTTCTTATATCATTTATGTTTAGAATTAGCATTCAATTCTAATAGGTAAAAAATCTATGAAACTCATTACGTCTTTGAAAATTGATACACCAGTATGCACAATACCAGTGTATATATGTTTTCCAGAAATTTGAAATGCTAATCTCGCTCTGATTGTATCAAGAGGATACGTAAGTGTTACAGCAGTAACTCCAGCACATGATCCAGCCACAAACTTATCAAAGTGTGATGTTTCTCCAAAAAAACCACCTATATACTATACTCAATATAGAATTTTTCATAAATTTATAATAAGAAATACTCTTATTTAAAAACATATCTTATCTATTTAAAATAGACTAACCTTTTTATACATTTCAAAAGAAGTATATTGAGTTGCTGCATATGGAAATATTCTTATCATTTGAGCAAAATTTCCTTTATAAAGAGCGAAGAATGTCTCTTGGTGTACTATATGCTTTATTCCAGAAAAAACACCTGGCCAAATCAATTGAAATATTATTTGACATCAATTATTTCATAATTATAAAATTGTTTTTACTTGGTTTCTATTACCTAAATGTTTGTAATGATTATTATGAGCTTGTAAAAGAATTTTTATTCTATCTAAAGGAGCTACAGTTGTTTTTGAACACATTCCAGCCACTCCTAAAAATATAACAATTTAAGTTTCATGCAAAGTAGATACAGAATTCAAAACAATAACAATTGATTTTGAAATGACCGCTCACAAAGTGCGGCTAATATGAACAGTTAAAATTCATCAGAATTAATGTTGAAAAGTCATTACTCACCTCCAGCAATGAAACTCTTTAGAATAAAATTTAAATCTTTTTCTTCTTTAGCCAAAGCCATTTTACTTATTTGTAATTGACAGTTTATATAGTAAAAGTCACTGATAGCTTTTTAGAAAGTGGATGGGCTCCAAACGTATCGTTACATGAACGAACTACTGACTACTATCCATCTCTGCTCGACGCACGCATCTTCATAATGAATGAAGGTCACCAACCCGCTCGACGTTACAACTTCATGAATTTAGGTTATACAGTCAGATAAGTTGGTGAAAGTCCCTGTTAGAAGTTCACTCGGTATGATTGAACAATTTTATTTCTACTGATATCAACTATTGTACGAATTTTTATAATTTTATTTCAAGTTTTGCTGATGCAACTATTGATAATATTATGGGATAATACAACTTGTTTCGAAATATTGAAAAAAATCTCTGCAGTTGCGCATTATTCATCATTGAAATTTGGCGCCAACAATCCGGAAGTGGTACAGAGGGCAATAGTGGTCAAGTATCGTCCCCCCACTCTCAAGAATTTTGCCAGCATTTTCCGATCCGGTCTTTTTCGTTTACACTTCGTCAGTGAAGGATCGTTGGATTGAATCCAACTTCATCTGACGATTAAATAAATTTATAATTAAAAAAAATGAGTGAAACACTTCAATTGAAAGGTACTCTTCGTGGGCACAATGGGTGGGTTACGCAAATCGCCACCAACCCAAAATATCCAGATATGATTTTGTCTTCTTCACGTGGTAAGCGTTATGGCCGCCATTTTTATGGCTTTATTTCACACACGTATGTTTTGTATACTGACGATTTCGATTATTTTTAGACAACACTCTCATTGTTTGGAAGCTTACACGTGATGAATGTAATTATGGTATTCCACAAAAACGTTTGTATGGACATTCCCATTTCATCAGCGACGTAGTGCTCTCTTCAGATGGTAATTACGCCCTTTCTGGATCATGGGACAAAACTCTTCGCCTGTGGGATTTGGCTGCTGGACGAACAACCAGGCGGTTTGAAGACCATACCAAGGTTTGAAACTCCTTCCTTCAACTTATCGGATTTAATTATTCCTGACGGGAACAGCTCTAATACTTCACCGCAGAGTGTTGGACCTACATGTACGGCACCTAAAAATTACTGAAGCTTTTTTTTTTATATATTTTTTTTTAATAATACATAGAAGAGACTGGTAAAGTCATGTCACCGGTGCCGTAAGTATTGGGTGGTTTATTTCTTGACGCGGAATCTAATTTAATTTTTTAAGTTATTGAATTTATTTTTATAAAATGTTTATTGGTCTGATTAGGATGTCTTGAGTGTTGCTTTCTCCGTTGATAATCGACAAATTGTCTCTGGATCTCGGGACAAGACTATTAAATTATGGAATACACTTGCTGAGTGTAAATATACTATTCAAGAAGATGGCCACTCCAACTGGGTCAGTTGCGTACGTTTCTCACCAAACCACACGAATCCAATAATTGTTTCCGCTGGCTGGGATAAGGTTGTGAAAGTCTGGAATTTGACAAATTGTCGTCTCAAGATCAATCATTATGGCCACACTGGGTACCTTAACACAGTTACCGTCTCACCTGATGGTTCTCTCTGTGCATCTGGTGGCAAGGTAATTTCTCGTTTTTTTTTTTAATTTCTAAATTATCAAAAGAACTCTTTATATGATGTAAACTTTTAACAATTCATGATATCCATGAGTGTTTGCGGATATGGGACTGAAAAAATTTACAAATTCATATTGAAGTTCATTGTTTTGATGAACAATGGAGTAATTTATGATTTTTTTTTCAGGATTGCAAAGCCATGCTATGGGACTTGAATGATGGCAAACATTTACACACTCTTGACCATAATGACATAATTACTGCATTGTGCTTCAGTCCTAATCGCTACTGGCTCTGCGCTGCATTCGGTCCCTGGATCAAAATCTGGGATTTGGAAAGTAAAGAAATGGTTGAAGAACTTAAACCTGAAGTTGTATCTGCAACTAGTAAAGCTGAACCACCATTGTGTCTATCACTTGCGTGGTCGACTGATGGTCAGACACTATTTGCTGGTTATTCTGATAATACCATTCGTGTCTGGCAAGTATCTGTTACTAGCCGTTAAGCCTGTAAATGACTGAGAAGTAAAAAAAAATAATATCAAAAAGTGAGTTTTATATTCTATAAATTTATTGATAATTTAATTATTATTATTATTTATACAATATAACTATTTTTCACATAAGATCATTGTTGGAAAACGCATAAGACTTATTACTAGTCTTAAGTTTTATTATTATTTAGTTTTTCTTCGAATTTATTGAATTCTGCTTTAGCTACTTTCTCCACCTCATCCTCTACTTGTTCCACCCCAAGTACCTCAGGTATATAAAATTGCATCATATTTTGAACTCCATTTTTTAGAGTAACTACTGAGCTTGGACAACTCGTACATGATCCTTGCATTTTTAGTTTAACAATCCCATTTTCGAAACTCTAAAATTAAAAATAGTGAAATAATTGATTATCAAATATAAATAAAATCCTTAAACCTTAATTTAGATTCAGACTAACCACAAAAACTATATCACCACCGTCTTCTTGGACTGTAGGTCGTATTCTTGTATCAAGAAGTTCTTTTATCATTTGAACAATTTCATCATCCTCTTCATTAATTTCTAAAATAAAAAATAAGAGTTATGAAAGACAGATTCATGAAGTTAAATGGAAATAAAAATAAGTACAATCGTACTAGTATCAGATGGTTGTTGATTCTCTGTTAGAACCGGCAAACCAGCAGCAAAAAAATCCATAATTGTAGCAAAAATTTCAGGTTTTAAAAGACTCCAGTCAACGTCTTCATCAACTTTAGTAACAGTAATAAAATCAGGTCCAAAGAAAACAGATTTAACTCCATCAATGCGAAAGATCATTTTTGCTAGTGGTGAACAAAAGCTTTCTGTTGCATTTGGGAAATCTTTTGTCTGACCTTCTCCTAGAACAGCAACTCCCGGAATAAATTTTAAACTGTTAGGATTTGGTGTATCTTGAGTTTGTATAAACATATGTCGTCTTTGGAAGTTGATAAATTTATTTTGCGTAGTATTTTTTAAAATAGATCGAGAACGAGAGTTGTAAGAATCGTAGTGAAATTGACAACAATCATTTCTAACAGCTCTAAAAATAAATATTTAGTTTAATCAATCAGCTTTTATCGTCAATGATTTAAACGAATAAAATTCTTACTTGATACATTGACAGCTGTTTATTGATATTGGAGATAAAAATCTCTTATTAAATAGTACTCTTTTTAGAAGTTTATCCATTATTTAAATAAAAACCTTTAACAATTAAAACATCAAAATTGTTTAAATCCAATGAGTTCAGATGAATTATTTTAGGTTATGTTTATGACTGACAGTGTTGCCATCGCTTGTGAAGAATTTTTCTGTCGTACCGATATTACGGACGTAGTAGTTCCTACAAAGAATGAAAACATCAGCGACACTTTCAATGAAACTCCAATCTCGGCTCCAATACTCCATTTGAGTTTTTGATCAATTTTTAATTAGAAATTGAAAAAAAAATCTCGTCAGCATTTCTATCATTTCATTATAATAATCCTGAATGTTTTCCAATATTAAATCAAGTCTTATATAAAGTATTTATCCATGTAAATCGTCGATCATGTATCGTACGTATTTGGACTCCAAACCATAACACGTGATTACATCACTAGAGGGCGAAGCCGGGAGGTCAGCGTTCAGTCTACGCGCGTCGAGCAAACAGTACGGTAGTTAATCGTGTTTCTCGTGATTTATTAGACTGTTCAGCTGGTTTTTCATTTGTTAAGCATTAGGAATTGCAAATGAAATAATACTTGTGCATTAGTAGTTAATTGTCAAGTGATTATCAATTCATTTATGTTTTCAATGAACCATCTAAATCAATTTTCAATTGAGTGTTGACAAATTCAAAAATTGAGTTTGCAGAAGCAAAAAACCGGTAAATTGTTGAATTTGCAGAACAATATTAAATTGAAAGTTTCGAGATAAATTTAATTTCGTTGAAGTTAAGAATCAAAAAGTAAGGTTCCATGAATTCTTCAAAGTTGTTTTAACTAAATTGCAATGAAAATTCACTAATGGAGTATCTGTATGTTTCCAGGAAAACTCAGCGGGAGCATTAATCGTGTGTTAAGGTTTTCCATAAATACTTTGAGACAAAACGATCAAGACTCGAAGCCTTCCGGGTTGTTTTAAGGTACGTTTTGTATTATTTAAGGTGTATATTCATATGGTTGTTTCTATTCATGTACTTATACTATATATATCTTTATTTAGTTGTAAGCAGAGGAATGGTAGAATGATAGAATAGAAAATAGTATATTGATGAGAGTAATTTATCTATGAAAAGAATATGTAAAGTAATAATAAAATGAAAACAAAAGTTTTAATATGTTTAGAGAAATCTTGCTTTGTTATACAAATTCAAGTCATAACAAAGCGCATTAGCTTTTGCTTGAGGCAGTAAAGAGTGTTTACATCATACACGTAATTCTGCACGCGTTTGTGTGTCGAGTCTGCCGAGGCTGATGCTACTCTCGTGACAAGAAGTGAGAGTAAATTCCAATATTTCCGCAACGTAAGCACAGTCCTAAGGTTTACAAGTAAAAGTGATCAAGGATAAGAGATTTTAATCTTAAAAAATACTCAATATGACGGAAATATTTGTAAGGCTTTATTTTATTACAAAGTGTTACAAGTCTTCACCAGTTGATTTATTAGCATTATGATAAGTAGTGTTTACAGATTCGTTATTTTTATTTTGTATTCTGTCTTTGACATATAATTTTTTTACGTCGAAAATTTTAGTAGGTAAATTTGCTTAAGCTGTAGAAAGTATGATTTTTGAGCAGCTGATATTTTTTTTTTCATTTAGTAAATTTCAATGACTTTTAAGTTGGGTTAAATGATGAGTATAAATAATTGTATTTCTATGACATGAGAGTGTTGATAAAAACACAAATATCTACATAATTTTTGAGTATAAATATGAAGTTTTTTATTAGTTTATTTATAAAAGATTTTACGACAAGTTGTTCATTTATTATTATGAGTGCTAAAAGCTGTTTAGATAATTTTAGACGTGACTGTGAATTTTTGAAATGGAATCAATTGGTGTTTTATGAAGATGAAGAAGAAGAATACGAAGATTAAACATTAGATTGAGCTAAAAAAGAAAAGATTCATCAGAACAACTTTTGTCTGTAGTCGTTTATCGTGAAAAAGTTTCTCTTCAATCCATCATCAAGTTGTTTGATCAAAATCCCTAAGCCGGTCTGTTGCAGAAATGAGAAACTTGATGCGAGAAACTAAAAGTAGGTCACGATCGATTTAGCGACACAAGTGTTGATTGAAACTAAGTTAGTTCAAAAGAGCAAACATTCATTTAAATTAATATGAAATATGCGTGGGAATGAAATTAGATTGCGTTTAAATAATTCTTTTTTTCTCTATTCTTTCAACAGTATTCATGGACGTAACGTGGGACTTTGGACGAACAAAAAAGGACCATCTCAACACTTTCGAGAGACTCGAGTATTACGACAGGAGCATCTGGGCGAGTCATGCATCAAAGTTGATGTCAGTGAAGAGAATTAGGATTTAAGATTGAGTAAAAAGAAGAGAAATAAGAAGAATAATGTCATTAAGAATGGAGTTTGGCAGTTATAAAGGCAGTGGTCCACGAATTCGAGTTCGAAGACGAGCTGAATTAGGAAGACGTCTCACTAGGAGGTTGTCAATGGTTGCTAAAGTGCCAGCAGCTATTTTACATCGAACGAACCACCCGGATCCAAGGCCTATCGAAATTACTGCCATAGCACCTGATAAAACTCAACTAACGGTAAGTTTGTATTTTATTTCATCTTATTTTATAGTCAGTAGAAGACTCGCATGAATCTTCATTTTTCATCGAACGAAAATACTTTTCGCGCGTCTATTTATCACTTGTACTCATGATTGGGATGGGCAGATGGTTGGGGCAGCGTGTGTTTAAGCTGCAAAGTGAAAACAAGAACGTCGTTGGCTGGAGAATAGATTAATGTGCCTTTGGTTCGACCATGGATAAGCGCAAGTATAGTCATTATCTATCTGCATAACAGCCGTCGACGTTGAAATATTTATATGATACATTGCTTACACTCAATATGTATTTTACAACACACATATCCACTGGCTATCTTACAGTAAATGGTTACACAAATTGTATTTTCATTTTCTTTCAGACACAAATCATCTATTGTTCCTCGTTGTTTCATCGTTAATCTGCGACAAATAGGTTCTTCTGACTATTTTTCTATCGATATCTTGATAGAGTGCTTAATAAAATTGTCTCTTTCCTTTTTTCTGTTACTTGTATGACCTAAGAAATAAGTGTATACACATGCGTGAATGGTCATTGTAAGCATAAAAGGCTTACATTTGCTACTTAATTCATGTGATTCTTCGTCTTCCTTAACGGTCAATTCTCCTCGTAATGCTTCTATCATTGTGCTTTTAAGTGTAAGCGAATGGAACTCTAATACATGTGTCGTCAAATCTCATCTTCCGGAATTTTTTCCTCGAACATTATGTAAATATTGTTCAATATTTTACCTTGAGAAATTTCATTTCTGTTCTCTATAACTTTTTTCATTTACTCAGTAATTATTAAAGCAAATATTTCTAATATAAATTATAAAAATTAAATAAATTTTTCATTATTGATTTAATAGGGAATAAATTTATTAATGATTTAATAGGAAAAATTATTTTTTTAATTCATCTATACTATTGAATAGATGATTTAAATATTTAAATAAATGTTAAAAAATTTTTATATAATATCAAACAAAGATTCAAAAAATACGTTTTAGTTTAAATTTTTTATTAATGTAAAAAGCATGTAAATTAGTGATGAAATCAGAGGTCACTTGAAGATTTTAAATTTTTCTTTTCATTCTATAACGTTGAATAGACTTTTAAGCTTGTTTATTTTTCATACTTGTAATTCAAGTATTATTTTCATAGAATATTCTGCAATCAAACCACAATTTATCTTATGTATTTAAAATTTTTCTTGGATTTTTGTACATAGTAGTGATATAGACAAATGCATTATAAGATCAATACATTAATTCTTAAGTAAATGTATAAATATATTAACGTAACCTCAGATTGCGAGAAAGTATGTGACATATGTAAAGAAACGCACGTGCGTGTGCAAACGATCTACGCTTTCTACAGTTGTGTCTACAGTCAATAGTCGTGCATAGCAGGTGAAATGTTTTGACTGCGCGATGAATATCAATCACGAATTATTGACCGGATTACTATACTACTGTCGTTAATTATCACCTTGAGTTGATCAGAAATATATTTAAAAATAATAAGAAATATTCATTTTCTCAATTTAATAATAAGTTACTTTAATATAATCCGTCTTGCTTTCACTATAATTGCATTTTTTTGTCCACTTAACTTATAAGTGAGCGTGGCTATTTTGAAAAATTAAAATGCTAGATAGTTTTGTCGTATAGCTGAAGTAAATGAGTATCGACCTTGCTTTAAAGTAAATCCCGTCATGGCTTACTTTCTGGTTATCTCGTTTTTTCTCCTCATTTCTAACTCGAGCAAATTGTTATTACTCTCTGATACAAGACCGCAACTGGTCTCTCTGGTGCAGGACAGTACAAAAATTCCACCCCCTCTATTTGGCTTTAACTAAGCACTGCATTATAAGGTGCGCATGCTTGTTATTCGATCGCAAGCATAAATATCATTCTAATAGCAGCAAACCAGTACTGCTACATTATTGGCGGAAAACCAGGTGACATTCGCGAGCGTTGTTGCAGAACAACGCTCATTTCATGTATGTATAATACTTATACAGACACCATTACCATCACTTTGTCCATTTGGTTGATTTTTAATATCATTTGGAATATGAATATCAGCTGGTGTTAATGTCCTGGTTAGTTTATCTAATTAGTTATGCTCAGGCCCTGACCAGGAAAATTTCAAGGCAATCTCTGAGGCCTCGGAAATTATCTTAATATTGTCTAAATGACATGACGAAAATTTTGTCGCAATTATTTCTTGCTACACTGGAAGGTGAAATCATTTATAATAAAAGAATATGTTTTCATAATTATGAAATACTTGAGTTTTCATATTAATTCATTTATTTTCTAAATGAAATGTTTCCATTTTTGACAAAATGTGGTTTTTTATCATTTTTAGAATATTTATGCAACATGTTTTATACTTTCTTTAGGATAAAATTTTATGGAAAAAGTAATGACTTTTTGTGGTCGTGAAAAAATTACTTTTTGTTTGCATTATTTTTTTTTGTACAACTTAAAAAGTGAGATTTTCTGTACAGTTCAGTGACTGGAAAAATAATATTGTGGTAGAAGTACATTTGATACAGTAGAAAGAAACAAATAATATACAGTATGCATAAAATTTATCATTTTTATATGAATAAATTATCCTATATATTTATGCACTGTTTAAGATTTAAATTATAAAATTGATTTTAAATCACAGCTGTTTAAACAAGTTTTTAAATTTTTTTAAACCACTTGAAGGCTACTGTTAGAAAAAAATAGAAATATTTAACTCATTTAATTAATATTAGCAAAAATATTTTACGCAAATTCATAAAATAATTTACATTCAATTTCATTATTAATTATTTTCTATATTATTTTTTCATTATTAAATAAAAAACCAGGTAACTCAATGTCGTTAGAGAAAAATCAAATGCTAAATAATAAATCTCATTAAATAATTGATTTGGTGTAAAAAAGACGTATTGTTAATGAGATATGAGGTCACAATCTCTCTTTCACCTCTTAATTAGTATCTGTGTTGAATCCCAAAATGTCTGAGAAGTATTTTTTCTATATATATAAAACACAAGTATTAATAATTTTTATCATCTTAAAATTCATGAGACTTTCGCTAACGCGCCCAAAGAACAGGTCAACAATCTCATTCAAAAGGTCTCAGTGATGATTTCCTCTGAGACTCACTTTCGATCCACATGAAATATCGTGAGAGTAGTGGGGAGGAAGGGAGACTCTCATGATCATGTTTATTGCTGTCGTTATGATCGAATCGATTAATGTGAATCGGACCGAGTCGACTAAAACGGTGAAAGTGATGCACGAAAAGTATATATATATTCTGGTAGCTACTTGTTACACTGTGATTGCTATTGATCAGTGGGTCATGTTATAGGTACTACAATTGCCACGTTCGGGGACGCTTATTACGCACCCGTCAATTACTCAGTAGTAGTAGATAGGTATATATCGACATTTTTGCGTTTATGCCTCCGCGAATTCCACTCAGTATGCTTTTATTACACGCTTTGCTATCGTAAATAGCAAGTCTTTACAGAATTATATCGTGCTCACTCGTTATGAATCAATACAACAGGACATTTGATGGTGAAACAACGGTTATAAATTGTTATGTCAATAAAACCGAATTCTTTTTAATTACACATAATACTCGTTTGTTAGCCTGTTATCAGGATTTTTTTAAAATGCTCACAATAATTCCTCAGGAACAACAGTATACCACTGATAATGATGATAATAATTCTTGAGGTCTAGAGAAAAATAGAAACTGGACATAAATGATTTATCATACTATTTTTGATCAATTAGAAACCATTAATTTGTAGAGATAAATTTTATTAAAAAAAAAAATTAAAATTGAATAATGCGAAGAATAAGAAGATGTTATATAATATGTTAGAAAAGAATGCAAGTAGGTTAAATTTTAATAAAATTGATATCTCTATTGGCAGAATAATTGTTCAATAAAACATTATTAAAAGAGACATAAAACTTCACTCAATCGAGATTTTTATGACTATTAATTTATAAGATTTTTAAATCAATTTGTTGCTTATTAGAAAGAAATCGTAGTTCCAACGGAATAATACTCTGCTCATTAATTATAGAGAAATTAAAGGACAATTGATGACAAAGTGAAGGCCATAAATTGCTATGCTAATTTGTAGAAATAATTTGTTTTTTAATTTTATGTTCACTATCGTGTTTTTTTTTCTAGCTCTATGTTTTTAGAGTAATTCTTCAAGCGTAAAAATATCAATGAAATATGGAAGTATATTCTTAGTTTGATTTAATTAGCGAATATGACTATTAAATGTCAATTTTTTGCAGGAAAATATTGACACTCAATTGAAATAGATAAATGATAATGAACATCTAAATGTTCATTAATATTGAAAAACATTTATACTTTTCAATCATGAATATTCAAGCTTCTTGAAAATTCACATAGTTCATAATCGTATGGTGCATAATAAGATGTCGATTATGAAACAAACATCATATTTTTATGTTAAAAGACAACATGTATAATTAAACACATGTTTTTACTTTGATGTCATGATCATCTTTTTTTTCTTCTCTAACAATCTGTCGGAAGTTGGATATTTGAGTTTTTTATTTTTACTTATTAATAATTATAAATAAAACATACAGATTATTTCACACTTTCTTGTTTCTACTGCAATAAAAAGAGAAGTTCCGTTTTCAAGGAAATAGATATACTTGATCACAAATTATAGAGCTGAAGTAAATATTATTTAAATCAATCTTCGTGATAATTAACTCCAAGAAGTTCATATACTATTTTTTTAGAGTTAAAATTAAATTGAAAGTAACAAGATTTTATTTATTTCAAAAGAAAGTTATTTAAAAATTAAAAGTATTTCAACTAAATATAAAAAGACGATAAAAAATTTATTTATGAGTTTGGTTAGTTTACTCCGAAAACTTTTTTTTTTGGAGCAATTAAAAATATTTCACAAGAGTAGAA